TTTGATTGGATTCTATATGGATAGATTGAACTGTAGACATGGTGAACTGAAACTATGGTATTAAGTCAAAGGTACATTAATTGTCTCCCGTGAGCTTCTCATATTCAGTGTTCTATATTTTTTTTTTCTCATGATCGGTGTTCTCTATATCTCACATATAATTATATTTTATTCTCATTTTTGTTTGCAGGATATACTTTTCCGCGCCGTTTGCCATAACATGTTACTGGTTACTATGGTCTGTACCAGAAACATCCTCACAAGAAATTAAACTGGTCTATTATACATTGTTTTATTGTGCTTTTCAGATGTTTCTGACGGTATTATAAGGTTTATTTTGTTGTTTTTTATTGTTATTATGTATTGATGGATAAAACTAGATTATGGTTTATTGTAAATTATAAATATTATATCATAAAATATTGAGCTACAGAAATTTGCATGAGTATTTCATACACACATACATAATAAATGAAAAGTGCATTTACCTGTATTTATCCGGGTAAATGCCCAGGGTTCTGAACATGAAAAATTGCCCAAAAATAGGGGTGGGCCTATGCCCGAACATCCCCTGCAAAAAAATGAAAATTCACGACATCCAGTCTAATTTTAGAAAAATCCACTGATACCAGTAATTGTTTTATTATTTATTATCATATGGGATGTTATAGTACCATCTGTTTTTTTTCTTGCTGGAGAATTTTTTTTCCAATCCATATTACTGTGAATGCAAAATCGACCCAACAAGCACTATATATTGCAATATAGCTCACAAAATTTACATTTGAAGTATTATGTTTAGAAATCAGTGGGCTATATATACACCTATATATAATTGCAATAACGCTGGTTGAGTTGCTTTGTTCACAGAGAAGAATTTGTTTTCAATAAAATGTATTTAAAAATGAATAATATTGGACCATGAAAATAATAATTTCTGGAATCAATAAATTTTTAAATTAGTTTGGACATTGTTATATGCATTTGCTAAATTATTAATAAGTCATCTATCTAGATGGTATATCATCGTATGTGAACTATTTAACAAAAATTATTTTTAGGAATAAATCAGACCCCACTGTATTGGAGGTGCATAGTTACTGGTTGGAAATGGTCATTTGTACCTAAAAATAAATTAATTATTTAGTTCACTGCTGCTTAGTGGTTCTTGGGATATCTGTGGAACAGCTAAAATTGATTAAAATATGCATATTGGGTAATTAATATGCACATATTTCACTGATAAACTCATCATGTCAGAAGCTTCACTTAAATCTGTGATTCTTGAAATATTTATGCAAATTAGGTGATTAATATGCACTTATTTCAAACCTGATGTGCATTATCCTAGAGCATATTAGTTCATTAATATGCATGGGTTTCAACCTCATCACTCATTTTGCTATCCTTAGAGAATCTATTTAATAAGTTTCATGTAAAGTGGTTGTAGATATTATTGTAGTATCTTAAAATTGGCTAATTAATTAATTATTATGCAAATAATATATCTAATATTAATGGATTTCAACCATGAATTAACCAGGTCTGTGGATTATTCTAGAGCACCTATGTATTTAATGGGATTATCCATATTATTATTCTATTAAATAAATCTTAGCGACCATGCACTTAAGATCATATTTTAAGATCTTGACATTTACAACCTTGCTGTTCCGTGTGGTCATGATAAATTGATATTAATGGCATACATGGCATTTGATTTGAATGACCCACCAGTAAATACAACAGTGATTCTTCTAATGAAAACTACTTTGTGAATAATCACAAAAAAATCTGGATATTTTTCTTGTAGTGTTACAGCTTACCGCACGCAGCACTTACCATGTACATAACACACGACCAATCAGAACGTGACTCTGCAACGGCATACCGTAAGTTTTTTTTTAGTTTCGAATTTGGAAAAATTTTAAAAATGGGATTTATAATTTCATTTTTGTACATCCATGTGTTCGTCATCTATCCATTTGTCCTTCTGTATTACACATACATTGCACATCTTGGGATACATATGCACATACATGTAAACTCATTTTGTATTCTGATATTGTTCTTCAAAATCAACCAATCTGTCATTACAGATCCAGATCTTGGTTGTATATGGATGAATTAAAACTTTTTTTAATGAATGCTGTTTTGGAGCCAATTTAATATTGTAGACATACATGAACGAATCATGTTCAAGCTTTACTCATTCATTTGTTTCATGATCAAAGTAAAGATGGCTGAATGACATCCATATTAAAGCTAACAATTTCTGTCATTCTGGAACTGGATCAAATCAAACTTCACACACAAGTTATAAATCGTGTCTAGCTCTGATTCAAAATGGTCGACTGGTTTCAGTTTTGCATAATTATTTGCACAACAAGGACTATGTCATGTCATTCACTTTTATTTCTCATTTCTTTCAATGCTTATATTCCCGGACCCCCCTCCACTTTCCTAAGACAATTAAGTTGACACCTTACAAAATACTACTACCGTAATTATTCAGTAGCAAAAAAATGTCAATGCAATATTGTAATGTATCATTTTAAATTGCAATTTCTTATTTATTAGGTATCTGGGCAGACATTGCTGGCACCGTTGTAGGGATGATTATACAGTCACAAATATTGATCTTTAAAATGGGGAGAACTTCACATGATCCATGTCGGACAACCGATGACGAAAATCAGACTGATACCAAGGAAGCAAAAAACGTAATGACAGGTGTTAAAATCTATGTAAATCATTTGAGTTAATTACCAAATTCTAATACATACTGTTCATCTGGAAGTTGTAATATTTCTTTCAATTATTCAGGCATTCTTCCTGGCCGGTATTATCATTGGTGCATTTTATGCAGTATGTGCACTAGTGGTGGCACTGGGAGTGAAAGAATACCGAGGTAAATTATTCACGTAATAAATTAAATTCATTCTTGATTGTCCCTCGTAGATGACTGTATGTTTTCACTGAGAGTTTCATTCTAGTATTTTTGAAATCATGCATGATGCGATGGAATTTTTTTTTTTTCCTTAGTTAATGGCATATTAGGTCAAAAAAAATTGTTTCTCATCATTGAAACCTGCGCTTCATGCAAACCATTAAAGTGTCCCATATATCGGTACAGTAGAATGGGAAAATGTTTTCTGTTGCGGAGGATATTTTATCAATCCAAATCAAAACTTTAATGCATGTATTTAAAAGCATTATGTTAAATGTATATCCTGTTGCAGTATTAAATAAATCCTAATACAAAAAAAAAAATGCATCACCACATCATTATTTAAAGCAACCTTTATTCAGAGATGATAATATGCAGTCGATCATGGAGAAGCACAAATAAATAAAAAAATATTCAAAGATGTATATGAATGTACGGTATATACATTGTGTCTGTATTCTAAAATATTTATTCCAGGGTGCCTGTATAAGCAAAGAATGTATATACATGTACTATGGCCACATCCCTTTATGACGAAAAACATTCATTTACATCAATTTCAGATGATGCAGTTGTTAAAAAAAAAAATGAATCTTTCAAAGAAAGCTTAAAGACGGTCTTCTCACACAAACCATACATAACATTATTGGTTACGTTCACATCCTTTTCTTTAGCCATGCAGGTAAGAATAATGTTTTGTACATACAATAGTTACATTCCAATGTGAGTGTTACTGTAAAATCTGTATTAGAAACCGCAGCTTCTATTAAAATGGTACAATGCAGCAAGGGGGATGTGGCTTCTATAAGAGCATCAACAAATATGAGAAATGATGAATTTTAATTCTTGAAAAAGAATAGGTGCGACCTCTATTAGGGAAGCGGCTTCTAATACAGATTTTTGGTACAACCAATACATTATTATTAGTGAAAGCGCCATGACTAGAAAGATTAATTAATTAATTTGTGTCCATTATTTACATCATAGGTGGACTTGCAATTAACATTGAATTGCCATTTGCAGTTTGAAAGGCGGTGATCGTCTCACAGTGTCCTGTTCGACATGGAACTCGCAGCGACGTAGAAAATGCATGTGAAACACATTGTTTGCTTACATAAAATTTGAACACGCGCTGCGCGAGGATCAACGCTTTTTGATATTGGTTGATATTGGTTGATTTGGTTGCTAGGTGATTTGGTGGCTAGGTGGTTATTTCTAAATTATTTCACTTTATGGTAATATTCACATAAGTGGGCATGTTCGCATCAATTGTAAATATGATGTTATGTATTTTACTATGGAAGTTGATTTCACAATAGCGCCATCTATGTTACTTGGTAACTATACTAATTTTAGATTATGCAAATAAAGATGTTCTGCATATTGGCGCCATTTTTGGATTGTACATTGATTGTCAGCTGGTCAATTCTATCAAATACACAGCATATGGTATCTCCACAAGAACATATGTCATGACAAATGTTCTGATACTGCAGTTATTTTTAGTCCCCGTTCGGACGTAGTCCGAAAACGAGGACTTATGTTTTGCCCTGTGTGCGTGCGTGCGTGCGTGCGTTCGTGATCACCTTGCGCTCGAACATGCATGGACCGATTAAGTTCAAACTTCAATCATACATCACACATTATATGGTTATATGGGACATATGCACATGCATTTTTTTCATGATCCGATTAACGATAGCCGAATAGCGGCCATTTTAAGGCCGAAAATGCATCAAAATCACACATTTTCACCATTCCAGACCCGGATCTCAGTTATGCATGGACGGATTTCGTTCAAATTTGGTACATACATTAAACATAATAGGACCTTGATGCACGTCATTTTTGTTTTTGGATCGGGTTTGAAATGGCCGACTGGCGGCCATTTTGTTTTAAAGAATTCAGTTCTGGATCCGTATCTGAGATATGCTTGGATTGATCGAGTTCAAACTTCACACACACAAGGTACATCATGTCACAAATATGTATGTGCATTTGTTTCATGATCTCATTAACGATAGCCAAATGGTGGCCTCTTTAAGGTCGAAAATGCATTGAAATCGCACATTTTCACTATTCCGAAACTGGATCTCAGTTATGCACGGACGGATTTTGTTCAAATTTGGTACATACATTAAACATAATAGGACCTTGATGCACGTCATTTTTTTTTCGGATGAAGTTCGAAATGGCCGACTGGCGGCCATTTTGTT